TAATTTAATGATGTACAGACTATAGCAAACATATAAAGGATACTCTGGAAATCCAGAGGACCCATTGGGGATCCAGAGGATACATTGGGGATCCAAAGGATCTAGAGGATACATTGAGGATCCGAAGGATCCAGAGAATCCCAGGATCCGCTTTTCCCCCCTTGAAGTCATCCCTAAACCACCTGAGAAAATCAGTAACTTTTTTTCAAAAAAGGATCCAATTCCGAAGAGTCTCCAATCACATATTGTTTATTACGTTAAATGCTCTGATTGTAACTCAGCATACATAGGTGAAACAACCAGACAAGGATATAGACGTCGAAAGGAACATGGTGCACCGGAAGGAACATTACCAATGGTCTCAAAGTCAACCTAATACAAATACTGACACACTTCGACGTTCTGCTCGAAACTTAGGGAAAGTAGTTAACTATAGATTGACGGAAACATTGATCAAATAAAATAACAATAGTAAGAAGGAACAAACAGAATCTAGTAATACAAGTGATTCAGCATTACGCCAACATGAAGTAACATATCAACATAAAATTCACTGGGAAGACTGGAAAATAATATCGAAGGACTCTAAATCATATCGACTGCGTGTACGTGAATCTCTTCACATTCTAGCAAATCAACCTGAATTAAACAAGACTGTCTCATCAGTACCTTTAATAATCCATCCTGAAGGACTAGGCAGAATAAAACCAAGAGTGAAAATTAAAAAATCGCTAATAGCACACGCCGGAGGGACACTCTAGTATACATCGATGTACACTAGATTGTTCTCGCTACTAACGTCCATTCGGAAATTAAAGATACTCGGTTAAAAATTGAACAAGTCAAGAATGCAAGCAGCTAGCGATCTGCGGTTTTGAGCAATCGAAAGAGGAGACATGGGGGCGTCTTTTTCTCCGATAATGTATAAGACAAAATCCTTATAAAACTAATTATTTCTGGGAAACATTCGAAAAAATGCATGCAAACGTCTTGTCGTTCCGATGAAATTTTGATTTCGACATATGATTTAGATAGATGGACGTCAGATCTATAGTTCAAGACATAATGTGAAGGGTTATGTTCTCACATTCTAAAGCGGAACAAATGAAATCATGTATTTGCTTACTCAAATAATAGGAAATTGCGTTGATTTTCAACTAAACTTTCTTCCTTCTTTCAAATTTTCATCGGAACGACAAAACATTTTTATGCATTTTTTCGAATGTTTTCCAGAAATAATTAGTCTTAAAAGGTTTTTGTCTTACATATTATCAGAGAAAAAGACGCCCCCATGTCTCCTCTTTCGATTGTTCAAAACCGCAGATCGCTAGCTGCTTGCGTTCTCGGCTTATTCAATTTTTAACCGAGTATCTTTAATTCCCGAATGAACATTAGTAGTAGTTGAATCATTAGATGAGTCACATATCATATATACATATCTTTTTTTGTCTTTTTTTTCTCATATTGTCTTGATAGTGTCGAGTGAATCAACGAAACGTCGACAATTTTAATATACAAATAAAATAAAAAATGAAGTTTAAAGCTGCTGTTACTATTATAATTATTATTTTTATTAAAATTGAGATAGTATAAACCAATAGTTTTTCAATAACATATCTATCGCAGGTATCAACCAAAGTATCGATAATCTAGTTCAATGACTAATGATGTTTCAAAAATCTTCTATCTGTTTGTTGGCGTGTTAATACTCAATAATCCATAGAATAAAATTTAAACTAAGTTGTTCGGTTAGAAAAAAAAATTTTCGCGACATCTGCTCTGTTATGTCTATTTGTTTAATGTCAGGTGTGATTCATCCTATGGTCCAACAAATTCAAAAGAAAGAAAATGAATGGATTTTGACATACAAACAACTTTTATTGAATCAATTTTTTTTTATAGAATATCCGCTAAATTTGTATGTTTATTTGTTTGAAATTTGTTTCGGTTTCCACCGAACCGTGTCTGAGTAAAAATGAAAATCAGCGAAATGGGTGGTGTCATCTATAACAATTTCTTAAACTTTTTTCTCAAGAAATGTCGGGTTACATTAAAAACTAATTTCAAATCAATAGTCAGACCAAAGAAAAGAATACACTATAAAAAATGTGTCCAATAAAAGCGGTGCGTACAGTCGAAGTGCATTTTTGTCATACTAGATTCGTCAGACCACAGATCAATATGATATTGCACAATATTGTTGTAACTATCTATCCTCTTATTCATGATGTGATTCATGAAAATCCTATCTCGATAAATAGGACACAAGCAATCATAAAGTTTGTTGTTTTAGAAAAAAATGGCCACGATTACATTTGCTGTAGCTAAAGTCGATTTATGTGTAAAGCAACATGCTACAACTAATGATTTACCTCAATCAGATTTGGATCGATGGGCAGCAACACATGAAACGTTATCACTTGAAAATTTTCAAATCAATTATCCATTAGCTGGTGATCTTAATGGAAATAATCGACGAATTAACAATGCTTTTGTCGCACCTGTATATAAAGCTTATTGCGAGCACTATCCACTTGAATTAAGTGTTGAAGATATTTGGGTTGCTATTGCACAAGGTGTCAGTATTCATCTCAACGAAAATACGGAAAAATATCGAGAACTAATGGTATCCCATGAAGGAAAAAAGACGTTGACTCTTCCAGTGGATAATCTACGAATATCAGACTCGGCTCGACCAAAAAGCGGAAATAAATCTGTACCAGCTATTGATTGGTCAGCAGCTGTTCGACAAATGGGTGAATTAATTCGACTTGATATGAAAACAGATTTAGCTACACTCTTGACCACTCCTTTTTCAAGCACAACAACAATCGAACAAGCTGTTTTTGATTGTACATTAATGGATAGTGTCAAATCTTATTATGACTTTCGATTTTCTCTATGCTGTGGTATTCCACAAGTAACATTACGTGGTTCACCAGAAGATTTTCAACAAGTTATTAATCGAATTAATCAACTTCGAACTATTTTTCTTGATTTTCATTGGTGGTTAGATGCACTTCTACCTCATTTAAAGCAATTGAAAGCAAGTGCTGAAGGAAAACCGGATATTGATTGGTGGCAAAAAATCTGTCATCATGTAGGGGGTGGGTCTGATATTAGTATGCTAGCTGGATGGCTTGCTGATTTTGTTCCGTAAGTTCACAGTATTATCAAATTAAAAAGAAACTTTCTGATTCATTTTATTATTTTCGCAGATACATGTCTGATGGAAAAGGTCATTATAGAAAAGCTCGGCGTGATCATCATCATTATACACAAGTATATATCTTTTTCGTTATGAAATAATTATTCACTTTTATTTATTTAAAGGGTTTAATCAACGGTATTGAGTTTGGTGATTTGAGTGAAAGTGTCACTCAAACAGATTTTATTTTGGATGATAATGGACATGAAACTAAGATGAAATTAATTGCTGGATTTTTAGGTATTGGTCAAAATGTTAAAACAGGTGCACTTCGTTCATGTCTAGGATGGATAACAGCGTTACCAAAAGTGAAAGAATCCACTGATGATCCTGGGCATAAATCATTTGTTAAGAAACATTAAACATTTGCTACTATTTCTTTTGAAAAATGTAATTTTCTAAGCTGCATATTATTCATGAAAATGTATTTCTTCTAATATGTTTTTGCTTATTCAAATAATGCTTTATCAACATCATTAGAATTAAATAATTTTGTAGGCGAATTACCCTCAACTATTCGTTCAAGGTATCATTCAGTCAGATCTCGTAGTTGATTACCCCTACTTTCATTCTCAACAAAACGTTCATCGATAACAAGAAATTTAATAAGATGTCATTATTCACAGAGGAAAGGGATTGATCACACCTTTTTTATGTCCGAATAGTTGCTATAAATATTTTTTTATTTTTCACATAATTTTTAGGCAAATTTGAAGCTGAGTTTGTTTTGAAGAATATTTGTAAACAGAAAATAAATTAAAGCAATCTATATCATCCGCCTTATGACTTCCTCGGGAAATGCTGATAAAAAGAGAGCAAGTTTTTTCTGAGAGAAATCTAAAGTACACCTGAATCTTGAATAAAAATATACTATATTCATGTGACTTTTTTTGTACTTCTGTTTATATGTGTTATTTTCTGTACGTTCTTTCTACCAGGGACAAAATTAACGCGACACCTCACACTTTTATCTAAAATATAAATTTCAAGATCAGAAAAAGTTTTCTCGGTTATATTTGAATAGCACGATTAAAGGTGTTTATAACACAAAAAAATTTAATATGAAGATACAAATTGTTGATATATTTTCTGAGTCTGTTTAATACATGGTTGCGTAAAGTATTTACTATTAGATTAACGTGTATTTTGTTTGCCTCCTATTTCGTTGCTTGTTGATTTCTTTGAAAATGTATAAACTAACTGAGGAACAACGTTGGTACATCATCGTTGAGTGGAAAAAAGGGTCTTTAAATGTCCCAAAAGTCGTACGCTCTTTCGATTGTCATCGTAGTGCAGTATATCGCGTTATTGATTATTATCGTCGACATAATGATGTGAATTATACTGATAGATATAATGCTGGACGTCCACCTGCGCTCAATCCAACACAAATTGAACAACTTGATCGAATTATACAACAAAACAGATCAGCTACTGCCGCTGAATTACTATCATTAACACACTTTAACACTACT